ATGTCTAGCTCTTCCTTCTTGTCAAATGGACAAAAACAAGCACCCTGTTCTGTTATATAGGCACAGTAAGTTTGATATTTTATTTTTGATGAATGCATATGACTTACACCGCATGTAAAAAATGTGCATACCACAATGCAATATCTGCTCAATTACATTTTATAGGGTAAACAAAACACAGTTTGTTTATAAAGTCTGACTTTCCAGTGGGGGAGAGCACCTGGGGTGGCATCCCGGATGCAGAAAACAGCAAGGATGGGGCTGCCATTATCTGTCGGAGCAGGCAAGTGCGTCAACATCCTCTTTCCTCCTGCCTCCTGCAAGGGGTCACACAAACAGAATAAGAGTCCGGGTGCCCTCAAACTACATTACTGCCGCCTTGGGATTAGGGTTTGGGGGTGTTTTGGCTGCTGGAAATAAGAGTCAATGCTCAGCCCTCCTCCACAGGGTCAGGTTGCCTTTAAACACACAGAACAGCCATGATTTAAACAGCCTATTAACATTCCAGCCTCCTGACTTTGTCCAGTGTGTTTGACACAGGGCTGCCGCTTCAGCCTTCCATGCCTTCATTTCTAAAGTTGGACATGTTTGTGCTAATGTTTTCATCTACATGCTGCACATGTGAGTGTATAATAAAGATAGCAAGTTAAATCTTTTCAACTTGGATAAATGTTGCAAGATTTAACATGACATTTAACATTCTAGTGGCTTAGGCTCAAATACTTCTCACTTCACAACATTACCATGGGTTACTGAAAGTTTAATTTTCATTGGTCCACAAATGGTGTCCCACAAAAGTGGAAAAGTGCAAGGAAAGCATTTGGCATTAAAATAATTAGTTTGAACTGAAGCTCTACAGTTCATCCGACTCGTTTTCCAAAATGCTACATCTGAACACCGAGCTTATAAGTGTTGTAATGTTTGCAAATGTACGTAAGCCATTCATTTTGTTGTATCTAGTTCTTGGCAGTGTTGTTAATCCCTGGTGGTGAGTGACACGGTCTCATTTCCTTCTGATGAGCGGGAGAGCGGAGTAATGTGTTTCCTGACCCCAGGATGTGGAAGAAGAAATCATGGCACTTCAAGGTCTAGTCCTTGAGCTGGACTCTAAAGAACACGGCAAGAGGAAATGCTGCACCTTTCATGCTGCGTACCGGAAAAGGTCAATAATAAATAATAATAATAATAATAAATGTCAGTACTTTCTATAGCTCTCTTTGGTAGGTTAATCTGTACAAACTACTACTAGTATACAATAATGATGCTTTTAGTTATTGCACCGCTACTGTTATATATATACTGATTCTTGGATTACTACAGTCAGAGGGTCACATACTTTCAAATGACCAATAATAATAAGCAGCAAATTAAGAGTGTATTGAGGCAAAAGTTGTAGTTAATAATTAGTTAATAGTGAGAATTGGTCCCCCCAAACTTAAGTGTGCCCAGATTTTCATTGGACCTCAAGTGCCAATCCAACACTACCAAACCCAAAACCTATATTTTATTTCTGGATCATCATTTTACTTCACATTTTGTTCACGTTTTTTAAGCAGTCTATTCAACATATTGGCATTTGTCTAACTTGTCTAGCTTCTACCAAGTGACAGATGGATTCACGCCAAAATAATTGGATACACAGACTTTAATGTCAGTGACAAAAAGGTGAAAAGTGTTGATTTTGCTATACCTCTTCCCTGCTGCCAGTGAGACAATCATAACAGACCTGCCATCTATTTTTGGATTGCTACCCGCCAGCTAACAACCGCTGTTAAAAGCAATGAGCCATAACTACTAATTGCAACCTGTTCCAGTACACACAATCTGCACTCAAAGAGAAATCAAGTCTTATTTATTTGCTATTTAGCATATTTTCCCATGCAAAGCATTTTACAACACTTAAACTGCAAGAACAGTCCCTCTGGAGTGATGCAGAGTTGAGTGTTCTGCTGAAAGGATTACTTGCAATAATGGAATACAATAGTTATAATGTGACTTTTTTCATATATGTATAATTATTGGCAATGGCATTACGTTTGACTGATAAAGCTAACCCAGACACCCAGCTGCCAGTTATAAATGCTTTCATTTGATTATTTATTTTTTGGCTGTTAAAAACTCAGTCAGTTCATTAGCACGTGGCGTAGTGTTTGTACATGTGCCAGGTAACATTATGACTTGAGAATCCCCCGCCCCTTCATAACATTCATTCTAATGAATGTTTCAAGAGCCAAATCAAACATGAAGCATGCCTGGGAAAACACATGTACACTATGGCAAGCCATTTTAACATTTAATCCTTAGAACATTTCCTATGTTCATGCTACTATTACTTTTTTTTTTAGATACTATCTATTCCATTTGGTACTTGTACTATTCATTAGCTGAGTACTAGTGCTTATTCTCTAGGTAGTGCCTTTTTAAAAAGTGCTAGTGCTTATTCATTAGATAGGAGTTCTTATTTTTTAGATATTTCTAACAAATAAGAACTCCTATCTAATGAATAAGCACTAGCACTAGTATACAGGTACTCATTCATTAGATACTATTACCTATTAAGTAGACACTTATCTCAATAGTGGTGAGAACCTATATTCTATTGTTAGTAACTGTCACGCACCGCTACTGTGAGGGAGCACGGAGCGAGGAACGAGGAGACGTGGAGAATTCTTTAAACAATGATACTTTAATAGCCATCCAATAGAACAAGGAAACCAGGAACACACACGTAGCGAGGAAGACGACATTCAATACCGGACAGGAAACAATGGGCAGAACACACTTTATATACAGTCTTAATCAGGGGAAGACGAGACGCACCTGGAATCAAATTGGAAACAATCGACATGGGAAAACTGAGTCATGGAACACGTGGGGAGCAAAACACGGAAACACAGGGCTGACAGTAACACATTTTACATTTTTGCCATTGATTTCTATGGGGATCAGTCATTCAGATATCAACTATTTAGTTTTAACAAATATGTATTCCAGTTGTGACTAGTACATATTTTTATATACTAGTTATTCACTACTTATTTTTAGATATTAGTATCTATTATTAGATAGTAGTACCTATCTGATACCTATACCTATTAAATAGATGCTAGTATTTATTCATAAGATACTAATTCTTATTATTAGATACTAGTACTTATTCATTAGACACTACTGCTTATTAATTAGCTACTAGTACTAATCTAATAAACACTAGTACACCTTTATTATTAGTGCTTATTCCAAATGTTAGTAGTAAGACTTCTTTTTTATTTTATTATTAAGATTTATAATTGAATTCTACCATTCTGACTAGTCATAAGTTGAGTAAAAAGCAGTTAAAATAAGAATGGTTACTAGTAACAATTACAAAAGACACTATGTTATAAATTCGGTCACACTTTAGTTTGAGGATCAATTCTCACTATTAACTAATTATTAACTACTACTTTGGCCTCAATAAACTCCTAATTTGCTCTTTATAGTTAGTTAAGTATATATATATATATATATATATATATATTAACAGTCCAATCAGAGTTCACATGGTACAATATATTAACATATTGAATGAAACTGATTGTTTGTAACTGGCTTTGTATGTTAGCTTATCTTGCTAATTGGATAGCATAAAAACACAAGGAAAGATATACTGTTTATTTGTTTGTTTGTACTTGACCCTGTTGATTATTGGCAGACAAGTAGATCCAGAAACCAGTTCATGCACACCAGCCAGACAACCACAATACCCAGGACATCCACCACAGGAGCTTGCATTTTTGGAGAGTATTTATAATTCCTTAAAAATAAAAAAGTAATGAATATTAATCTGCATCTGAGAATGCAACGCATGTCAAATAAGAATCCCTCTCTCCGTAAAATCGGCCTACTTCAAATCTCTTTCAGCTAATATTCAATGTGTCATTAGCATACTGAGCTGAAATGTAAATCTAAACATTAGGCTACTATTACTTAAGTTAATGATATCTTCAGTCTAAAAAGTAGCAAGTACCAATATTTTTAAAAAGTTCTAGTACCGCACTAATATCTAATGAACAAGTACTCATACCTAATGGAATAGATACTAGTATCTAAAAAATAAGCTTGAAAATAGTAAATTTTAAGAATTAAATGTTAAAAAGGTTTGCCATATGCACACAAAAATACTGACTGCATTTCTCACTTTCTGGAATTTTAGTCAATGCTGTAGGTCTGATTGCTGCCGGTCCCTGGTTATGTTTTACCACATGCCTGCTGCTTCATTTAGTTATTGTTCAGATGGTGCCTTACATTTCAAAAATGCTGTTCATTTAAAAACGCAATTTAAAACAATCCAGACGATGCATAATGACACCGTGTAATGCTCTCATGGATTATGTTTGAAACCTTGCAGTGGAAATGATCTGAGTATGTTTTTTAAATAGTCAGATGTGATGTGAAGTTCTGGTGGATAATATCCCATTCATCATGATCTTGACAGCTTTATCATCCATTCATGGTCTGGATGTCTGACAAAGGACTTAATATCACACCTGGATAGGGGCCATTCACATTTGAGATGTTACCTATTTAGATCACTGCAAATATACTCATGAGACCAACCATTTATATTTAGACACCCTCAATCAACTGGTGTCACAAAAATGTAAGGATTTTAAGACTTAAGTCATTGACATTTGCTGTCAGTGATATTAACACAAAACATATGTCCGCTATAGTGGACACAAATGAACTGCTGGTCATTGGAAGGATATATCATATATGTGCTGTGTGCAAATGCACTGTCAGTTTAAACTTTAAAGCACAGGGTCCAGACACTTTATGTGACACTTCAGACTGGGGGAGTAATAGTATTATCACTGAGGAGGACGCAGGCGTTTATGAACGAAAAGCGGCAGATGAGTGAGTCAGAGGAAAAGGAAATGATTGTAAATCCATTCAGAACTTCAGGATTCTCATTTCAACAGGAAAAAGAGCGTTTTGTGGCAGAGACGCTTCACCTGAATCTGAGGTGCTTCTGCTCGCTTTATTAAATTACATCAGAAAACACGCGGGTTTGCTAGAATATCTAAAACCCCGGAGGACTGGAAACCTGGAGATGAAGACAGATTTTACGTTTTTCTGTCGGATTTGGATTGGGATTCCCTTCTTCTCAGGTGAGAACACATTTTAGTAAACACTTCAAGCACTTCGAAATCTGTCGTTATAATAGAACGCGGAAATTTTGAAAGTTTGCGTTTTAAAAAACGCAGGAAAAGTGGAACGGTCACAATTATGATTAACGAAGCTGTCAAAACTGAGAGCGCGCGAAAAGTTTGTTATAAAGTTACCTTTTATAATTTGTCGCGTTCTAATCATTGTCAATGCTGTTAAATATTAGTTCAGTTCTGTATTACTCATGCCAAAGTTTTCTTATGTGTATCGGTTCTTTCCTGATTATTGTTCATCACTATCCTTAAATTAATTTTGTACAAAACTCTTATTAATTCCAATTAAATCCATAAATACAAATTTACACAATCATTTACAGAAATCATGACGATTCATTCAGTCCATTTAATTAAATATGATTTTTTTTTTTATTGGTAATGATATTTTCGTTGCTTTAGTGCAATCATATTCATTCTTTTTTAATTGACCATAACTAGTAATTAGTTAGGCTATACATAATTCATTACAGTTTGAATGCATTGCTTCCCTTATTCACAATCATTGCAGTGTCTGCAGTTTTGATTACATTTTTCTTTGTCAAAAGTGTATGATATATCACTAGAGGGAGCCTTGTCTTTATTCTTGCCTGTGCAATGGATGTTGTTAATTGGTCTTGATGAGATCCAGTTTCAATGCCAGTTTAATGCTTCACAGGTTGCAGTGTTGGTAGAAGACAGCTTTAAAGGAGCTTTGAATGAGCCACCGGATATGTTTTTTAAACTGTTAGCTAGCGTTCTCTCTTTTGTGCCTTCTTGATACAAGCTCATATTTTTATTTTGACTTTAATATTCATGGAATTTCCTGGTTATCAATATCCTGCATATTATTTTTTTGCTGTGGTATTTCTTATGTACACAGTTTTATTCCAACAGAACACCTCTGAAACCAGAACCTCAGTCAGGGGGTAAGGTATCAGCCAATCATAATAGTGAGCAGTTTGAGACAACAAAAACTCGCTATTCTCTGCACAGGTTTCAAAACTCTGTGTTTCATGGTAGTGGTAGAAAGAAAGGTTCACTTTGCTGTGAATCCCCCAATAAAGAGATCAAGAGCCTTAGTGAGTGCAGGTGTCATATAGTGAGATCGGGAAGGGTGGAAAACTCATTCCTCCAGTGTGTTGGCTGGTTACACATCAAATAGCAGCACCTCGGGTGAAGACTTTGGCAGAAGGATGAGCTTTCTCTAAATTCTAGGAATCTACAGCTATAAGAGCCCCACTTATAGATGACTGCATTAAAACATTGCACAAATGAAAACCATATGGCAGCTTGGTGACCCTGTGTTTGACTGCTTTGTCATAACAAGTGCTGTGTCTGTGCTAAAGTCCAAACTGCTAAAATCTTTTTAAGCAGCGTAGCTTTCCATGTAACCTGCATTTTATATTTTGTTGACTTAAAGAGCAAATTGATATAGCCTATTATCAGTCAGTTACATTTGAAAACTTGTCATTTGCATTAGGATGTATGTGTCACATACAGGTTTATTATGTAACAGCATGAGAAATTTGTTGGCCACAACACTGACTTCAGGACAGTATCTGTAGTGTTTCATATAATAGAATGTAATTACTGTCTAGAGATTCCACTGATTAAATTCCAAACATCTGTCAGCTCTCCAGGATGTTCTTAATATAAAAGTTGACTGCAGAACTCTTTAAAGCTGTAATTTTATTATTTAATATTTCAAAACTCTGAATAGGATTTTAAATGTTTTTATGTCAAGACTTTTAGCAATGTGCTTCAAATTAGTGGTGCTAATTGCTAATTGTCTTGCTGTATATGGAGGTTGAGGTTTGAAATCTCAATGTTTTCCCAATATTCTGATCTTCCTGGCTACAGGAGCAGAGAAATGAAAAAAAAAAAAAAAAAAGCATCCCTTTTACTATTATTTATTAAAGGGGTCATATGATGCGATTTCAAGTTTTCCTTTCTCTTTGGAGTGTTACAAGCTGTTCGTGAATAGATAAGATCCCTAAAGTTGCAAAGACTAAAGTCTCAAACCCAAAGAGATATTCTTTATAAAAGTTAAGACTCGTCCACGCCCTCCTAAAACGCCTCGTTTAAACATGCCCCCACATGTCTATGTCACGATGTGGGAAGATTTGCATAACGCTGCCCAAATGTTCACGCAAAGAAAGAAGGCGTAGCTTATTGTTGCTGCCGCCGCCATGTTGTGAAGACGCTGTGTGTTTTTTGCGAAAATACTTTGTTTGGCCTTCCAAAAGAGGACAAGACTAGAAATCAGTGGTTAAGTTGTATTTACAACACTGTTCAAGAACAGTTCAACCCAAATATTCAGATGTGTGCAGCGCATTTTATGGAGGACCGTTTCCTGATCCTGGGAGAGTAGACTACAATGCCGGCTGTTCTGACTCACAGACTGCAAGTACGTTTTTTATATTTAAAGGATTTGCCACTGACGATTCAAACGTGAGTTTTGAGCAGTGTAGAGTAGGGCTTGTTGTTTGCCATTTCTCCGATCACAAATGCAGACATAGTTTTATGTTTAAGCGGCACGATGCAACGCAACACGTAAAAAGACAGTGTAAGTCATTATAATCCGTAATTGTGTCCCCACTGGATGCAACAAATGCCTCGTTTATAATGGGTTTTATTGGTTTTGTCTTGTCGCACCGGGACACGTCATCACTGTATGGTAAGCGGCGTAACATTTCCGTCACACGCTTGAGGTATTCGGCCAATCACAACGCACTGGATAGCTGGCCAATCAGAGCACACCTCGCTTTTCAGACCGATGAGCTTTGAAAAAATCGAAGCGTTTCATTAAGGTGGGGCATAGAGGAGAAACAATAATGTACAGTATGTGGAAAATAAAGTGTTTTTTGAACCTTAAACCGCATAAACACATTTCATTACACCAAATACACAAAATAATGTTCTTTTTAGCAACATGACCCCTTTAATAATATATATATATATATATATTTCGGTTTAATAGCTGCAGAGATTATTTTCTCTTTTTCATTATTTTTTTCATGTTATCACTTCTGTTAAATCACTTACTATTCAAGCAGAATTCTCTGATAGACTTTCAGTCTGTTTCTTGGTTTGTCTTTAAAGGGCTTGTCATCAGGTTATATACTATGTTTTCACTTTAAATTGAGACCCTTCTTGAGGGGCCTCAGTGGAGGAAAATCTGAAGCTTATTGGTTTAAGCACAGAGTCACCATAATTGCTGTGAGCTCCATGGCCTATGGCAATATTTTATGGCGCACTATGATGTGTAACAAGTGTTAGGTTTCTCTGGTCAGCGATATGGCAGGGTCTGCCATTGGAGGTCAGTGAGGGTTCATGGGAAAGCGGACTGCCAGTGTTTCCTTGGCCTCCTCTGACCGATTCCATATTCGCATGCTTAATCTCATGATACCCATTTCTGTGTCTGCATCATTGCATTAGCAGATTTATAATAGCTGCAATTAGCTAATGACACCGGCCCACATGGAATCTGTGACAACCCTAAAGATCTTGGCTAAACTGATTGTACTTTCAGCTGAGCTGAATACTGATTCATACCAAGGACTCCTACTGTTTTAGTATTGGTAAAAACAACTCTTCCCATAGATCTAAATGGGGAGTATCATTTCTGAATGACAGTGATGACAGAAAATGTGACGATGCAGTGGAAAGAGGACAGCGTCCTGTTGGCAGCCTCCACAGGTACAGGAAATACTAGTAAGGGATGAGAAAGCAACATGTAGGAAACCCACACAGATATCTCCCCTCCCACAACATCCTGACCTCACCCCAAATCCCAGCCAGGAAATAGGAAGGCCACAAGCAGGCAGATAGACATGCATGAAAGGACATACAGTCGCATTATTGGATCTCATCCTCTCCCGACGGGTGACAGTGGAATCAAAGCGTGTCCCTGGCCTTGGCTCTAGAGGACAGAGGAACTGCATCCAGCCTTTTCTCCTTCACTCATGTTTTAATGTGCATGCACATCCCCTCCCGGGGCTTGACCGATGTCCTACATGGGGAGCAGCGGGATGCTGACTCCTCAGTCCAGGGAGGAGGTCTGTTCCGTGGCCTAGATGCCCTCCAGTTGTAGGCCGGACATACGACTATTTCAGGCCCTGTGCCCTACTGTCTGACCGGGATGATGTGATCTGACCCCATTGATAGATAGATAGATAGATAGATAGATAGATAGATAGATAGATAGATAGATAGATAGATAGATAGAACAAATTTAACATTTCATTGTTATGTTTCACTAAAGGAAATTGTGAAATGAAAAGCAAGCAGGAAAACAGGAAATTTACTGGATAAGACAAAAAATGCATTTGCCTATCAAAGGCTCCATGTTTCCGTCCTCAGAGCAAAAGGGAAAAGACTTGTGCCACATGACTACCTTTGAAGGCTTTATTTCTCACTGTTATATGTCCCATAGTGAATAACAATCCAGCATGCATGCTCCAAAGTGCCAAAATGACTGCTCTTTGCTCCTGAGTGCACGATTTATCTGTTTTCCACAGGCATACTACTTCCCAAAATACCCAGCAGCTCACATTCAGAATTGCTTAACTGTCACTAATGGATACACCAAGGTCTCCCTTTACTCAGGAAACAGAATATTCTGCAAACCACATATCTATACCTAGGGTACAATTGTGCTTTTCAGTTGACAGCAGTGAGAGACCTCTGTAATCTAGCATGTGACTCCACTAGATTTGCTGTGCTCAGATCTACCCAGATGTAACAGCACTATTAACATTTTCCTTTTGGCTTTGTCATTCCAGTTAATCTGAAGCCTGCTATATTACTGTAACGTTTTCTCCTATTTGCTTTTTTCTCATGCTTTTTTAACATTATTGTTTAATTTTAGTGCTGGGTTTAGTGTAGGTGGTACATTATTTTCAAACACGATAGAGCATTAACTCTTTAGCACCAATACGTACAACAAAACAATGTAATAAAACTTT